GCAAACAATCTGCGGTAAGTACAGGCAGTGGCTCTTCAACGACTACAACTTCAATAACAAAAGAGTTTTTCTTAAAAGTCATGGAAAATTTCAAAAATGAGATCACCAATGAACTTAAAGGTGTGAAAAAGGAGACTCTTGAGTTAACCACGTCAGTGCAGCACCTGTCAGATACTGTCGACGGTGTAGTTGGTCAGATGAATGATTTTAAAAAGGAAATTATGTCTATTCGGAAGGAAAATGAAGATCTACGTGCCAAAAACAATACATTAACCTCACAACTTGGAAAATTAAATGATAGGATACGAGATTTGGAACAGTACAGCAGAACAAACAATGTGGAAATTAGTGGGATTCCAAAAACTGCTAATGAAAACGTAAAATCTGTAGTGAAGGACATTGGGTCAGCATTGGGTCTAGAGGTGGAGACAACCAGCATCGCAGCAGCCCACAGAATCCCTTCGTACAATAAAACCCGAGTGCCATCCCTGGTGGTACAGTTTACGGAGAGGACAATGAAGGAAGCATTTATCAACAAGTTTAAGGAGGCTAGGGCAAGGAATGAACACCTCACGGCTGATAAAGTGAACAACACCTTTCCCCGAGACAGAGTATTCGTGAATGATCACCTATCTCCAGAAAACAAGATCTTCCTATCCAAGTTGAAGCAGAAGTGCGCTGAAGTCGGTTACTCCTTCGTATGGTGTCGAGGTGGGAAATTCTTTGTGCGGAAATCTGAAGGTGAGAAGGCGATCAAAGTGAGTACCTACGAGGAGATAGGAAAGATAAAATAACTGTTCTTCAGCTGTACCTGATTTCTGGTTTTATTAAGATTTTGAATGATTTAAATTTTATTAACTTGATTTGAAAACTAAAACATGGTAGATACAAATTTAAATAATTACGAAACAAACCTATCTGTCTTTTATGACACTGAAATTAACATTACTTTTAATTTTATAGTAAGTATGTGTGTCCGTTAGCACGATAACTCGAGCAAAAATGATCCGATTTTAATGAAATTTTGTACAAACGTGTAAACCTACGTTTATTCGATCGAGTTCGCGAACCAGTATAATCGGGCCATGTAAACGGGGGGTTATGGGGGTTTTATGGGGTAAAAATGGGGTTTTCCCTTTTTTGACCCTAAAATCAAAACATTTGGAATGTCGTTTTAAACCGTTTTGTAGAGCTTAAAAAAAAGAAATAATTTAGTATATTGAAGCGCTGTTGTATGCCTAACGGTCACGGAGAATATTCAAAAATAGTGTAATTTCAAATTTCCATGTTATTCTTAAGTAGAAAATAAAAACTGTTGTAGTTTACTTGTTTATGGATATATATTGATAAAATTTGGCAAATTTATTTATTTCATCCTGGGTCAAAAACACTTTTTACCATCCCCGTAGCATCAAACCTAGGCACTTGTTAATTATAATGTTATTTAAATTGGGAATAAATATCTTTATTTATGGAAATATTTTAGTAAAAATGTAATCATACAAGTTGAAATTCACTTAGTCTGCAGGTTTGCTGCGGCGGGGGTATTTTGTTTATCGCTTATTCTTTGTTTTTCACTCAACATTATTGAATAACTAGCTCTAAGCAAGTCTTGTATGTTATTGCACAAACTTTTACCAAGTATCAAAATGGAGCTGTCCGTATGAATGTAAAATAAAAAATAAATAAATAAATCACATAGATCAAATCCATTTATGATTGGCGGAATTTGAACCCGGGACCTCGGGCTCCGAAGCCCCGTGTTCTTTCACTAGACCAGCTCGATCCCTACTAGGTTCCCATTACAAGTATAGCAGTACTTAATCCTTTTGACTATACCATGACTGTAGCTGTCGTATTTGTTGAAATTAGCTAATTTTTTTCTTTATTATTTCCATTGCTTCTCTGATTTTCTCGAGAGGGAAAAGGGCTATTTGGCGAGTACTTTAACTCAACCAACAGAATCCTACCAATCTTCTATGGTATTTCATGAGTCATTTCTCCACTGATATCATGGCAATTGCTATCCCGTTCGGTTGTTGTTACTTTATTCAACTTCAAAAGGTCTTGATTTTATGTTTTACTAGCAGAGTACCCGTCCTTCGTACGGGGTTGGCATATAAGTTTAAAATGCTTATTGCAGTTATACTCAAGCTTTGCGTTTGCAATGGGGGAGGAGAAAGTTTGATAAAATTTGCTTCTTTAAATTAACGGTATACTATGGTATTACACATCTACCATAGCCATAATGTTCTACCACTTCACCTTAGCAAGAAAGAAAAATAAATTTATTAAACATTCGAAAAAAATCACAAATTATACATGACATTAAAAACATAAACATAACTGTAAACAATCCTACTTTGACAGTTCTCATTGCGTATCACAGTTTTTTTGTTGCTTAGTTCAAATTAGCTGTTTACATAAATGCAAACAAAATATAGTGCTGTACCCTGTTGGTAAATCGTATAACTTTTTAATGCTCTTGTATTTCATAGAACCAACTTTTTCGTTGAAACAGCTGACTAAATTCTTAAATCCCCTTTGAATATGAATACTCATAAGGTTAACATGAGGAACTACAGAGCCACTGGGGCGGAGCCCAAAGAGATTTTTGAGATAAGAATATGCCTACATGTTAATCGGGAATGTCAGCTATCATCATGCCAAATTTCAGCCCAATCCGTCCAGTGGTTTATGCTCGATTAAACTACAAACAAACAAACACAAACTTTCACATTTATAATTAGTAAGATTTCTGTTATAGGCTATACTTTTTTTATTTTCAAGTTTTTATAGGGAAATCACTATCAAAAATCAAAATACAACTCCTGATGGTACCAGGTTAGTAGAAATTACTTATAACTATAACTAAAAAAAAAACTTAAAAATAACTATAAAAATAACTTATATAACAATTATTTTTTTAATCGGACCACAGGGTGTGGTGAAGCTATCATAACTGTGTACTCATATACACAAATACACACATAAACATAATTTCGAAACCACATTTTTTCAGGGGGACACACAACTCAAACTCGAAAATGTTGACGAAAACAATACTTTTACCTCCCCCCCCCCCACCGCCAATAATCTTTGAGAAGTATAATTGATAATTGTTGGGTTTTGAAGCTACATGAACTGGAATTTTGGGAATGTTTACTGATAAATAAAAAAATGTAACAATTTAAAATTAGCATACCTAGGTAATTCTTGGAGAACAAGTATACACTGTTGTAGTTTGCTGGTGGTTCCTAGGTACATTATGATCAAATTTGGTAAATTAACTTTCATTCTAAATTTAAACTTGTCACAAAAAACAAATATTATTACATTATTTGCAACAGAAAATTTTGGGTTTCACTATCAAAAAGAAATTAATTTAATACATGCGAGTATTTCAATTTCAGTGAAAATCGACCAGGAAACAAAGAAAAATCGCTTAATCTGCAGGTGTGCTGCAGCACATGTATTGTGGTTTGATTTTATTCTCATTAAAACAAAACACATCCATTAAAAAGACGATTCATTGCTAGGTAGGGTCTCAACTTATTGGAAATACCGAATTGATGGTTTATCTTCTAGGCATTCATACATTTTCAGCGATATTATCGCTAAAAAAATGTTTTTTACCCATTCATTTAATCATTTTCATTGCACTCCCTCCATTCTCCAACTCCGAGACGAATTAAGCCGGGTCTCCCCTCCACCTTCCATTCTTCACACATCACCACACATCACTGCACACGCACACTAGAATATGCGAGTGCGTCTGCCTGCCTGTGATATAGTGCCAGTGCCTGCAGTGCACGGATACTCTCTCCTTCCCTCCCACCCTAAGCCTAGTCACAAGCGAGCCTTTCAAGACCGGAAAATGCCGCGCTTCTGCGCATGCGCTAGTAACTGGTGGCGTAGCAGCAGCTATTTCAGAAAGTCACGGTCACTAACCATAACCACTAACTAGCGTCGTTGTCGTAATATTTATCTTGACCACTGAGCTATAATTCTAACTCTTGACTGCACTGCAACTGCAACTAGTTCCTCATAATTATTATTCATATCGTTTGTTATTCTTTATGTTATGATCGAGTTATGTCTGAGTTGAAGTTGGGGTTAATGTTATTGATAGATTTTGATTGCTGCTGTGTTGCGGAGGTCATTTATTATCGATGATGTGCTCCTTCTTCAATACGAAGATTCTGAGAAATACGAGTAATATGGAAGACATCAATAACACTGGAGTACTTTGTAGTTTATGTCGTGGAAAAGTTTATTTTTAGTTTATGGACGAGAAGTACAGAAGGATTCCAATTAATAAGCTATGTTCAACAAGGCAAAGCCAATAAAATAATTTATTTTATTCACTAGCGCTTTTGAATGGAAAACTTGTTTCTGAAAGCGCTAGTGAATAAAATAAATTATTATGTATTAGCGTTGTTGAACATTTACATTTTGTTATACATTTCATTGTAAGCAAGATGCCAATAATTCTCGAAAAGCTTAGACCATTAAAAATGAAATGAGAATTGGGATCTTCTCTTTTGGAAAACATGTTTGGGTACAATTGAAGATAGATGAATAGATGATAACGCTATCGTAGCCCACCCAAGTTACTTTAAATTTATTTTATAAAATAAAGGAGGTGCCAGAGGTTACAGTAAGTAAAGTAACACATACATAAACATAATCTGTAAAATTCTTCATTCTGTTACAGTAATTAAATGGTTTGGAGTTAAGCGCGGGAGAACCGTTCCAGTTTCAAGTAGATTGTTGCAAGAGTTGCAGTGAAGATACTAATGTGATTTTCTGAAACAGCTGCAGCTGTTACAAGTGCTACGAATAACGCTTACTTGCGCATGCGCAGACGCGCGGCATTTTCCGGTCTTGAAAGGCTCGCAGTCACAAGGGCCAAGGCGAAGGCCAGTCCAGTCCAATAGTCCAGTCCCACGTACCAGTCCAGTGCAGTGCCACTGTGCCAGTGCCAGTGCCAGTCTAGTTTCAGTTTCAGTCAGTTCAGTTCAGTATGCGATCGGTCCGTCCGCGTCCTCCGTAGTGTTGCTTTTTACGGGTTGTCTTTTGAAATTCATCGTCTGCGTCTCTTGTCTGGCTGAGACTGACTGTTTAGTTCGTTGTTCTGTTCTTCACCCTATTCGTGGTTTGTTTTGTCATTTCTCCTCCGTGTTTTAACTAGCCTATTCAGCTATGGAGGTGGAGGAGAAATTCTCAGATTCGATTCAGTTTGTTTTAGGTGAGTTGCCTTGGATTAATATTTAAACCGTAAGTGAATAGTCAATGGTTGTACCTATGCCTACTCAAGCATTTTGCTTCTTACTCCGCCATTGGGTTGGGGTTGGCATTGTTTGTTTTTGGTTGGCCTAGGCCTAGCATATCTCTAGCCTATCTCTAGGCTAACATGTCATTGTGATGACATGTTTAAACTCACATAAAAACCATTTACAGTATGTTTATATAGATTAATTGGTTTACGTATTTTTTAATGTTGCAATGAATAAAAAGGTCTTGCATTTAGAATAAGTAAATTAACCCTGGAACTGCCAATTAAATTTCTTCAAATGCCAACACTTTTTTCAGCAATCATAAATTTTTTTAAAAATTCGTAAAAAATATTATTTGTATGACTTAAGTAATGTATTATACATAATTTTATTCAGAAAATAACAAGGAATACAATGGTAAAATTTATTTGGTAAAATAACAAAAAAAATTTACACACCATATTTTTTTATAGGCCTACACAAATTTGATAAAAAAATCATTTCCGCATTTTATGTCTCATGTCCAATACACATCAGAAATGCCACAAGAATTCCAAAATATACATTTTGTTGCAAATTTTATCTAGTTTTTAGAAATAAATTTTGTTTACTGAAAAAGTAGGCTAATATATTATTCATAAAATTTGAGTTTTTTCACATGATGTGCTCGGTGAAAATTCTGCGCGAACCAGACATATGGGAAACATATGTGTCTAGAATTATTATAAGTCATGAAATACAGCACTAGTCAGTCCTAATGTGCTACTAAACAATGTAATTCAACAAAAATCTAAACTTAACACATTTTGAAAAGCATACCTGCTAATTTTTGGACTATGTATCCACGGTAACGATAAACTCCAAGAAGATAAATGTTCACAAACAGTCACATAACAATAATAAACCAAAATTATAATTCACTTTCTTATTTGAAATAGCCTACTCAGGCATAAACACAAAAGTAATAAAGTAAAACACTCAAGATTTGATTGTCAATAGCAATATTTTTACAAGGAACTGCAAAAATTTGGCCGAAGGCAACTTGGCCAGAAGAGGGCGATTGTTGTTCCTGACTTTAGTCAGAGTCACTTTCATTTTCTGTGGCTGGTCTCTTTTTTTTTACTTTAGTGGCCTGTAAAAGTGTTCCAACCTCCCAAAGCACTGTGGGTGAACACCAACATTACACCCAGGGCACCTCCAGCTGCTTTTTTTTCCGCAGACGGGACAGACTCTCCTTTGATTCGATGGAAACTGCACTAGATTGTGTTCCAAGGGATTTACTTGAACAGGTTCTGCAGGTGGTTGTTGCCTGACAAGTGTTTCAACAATATCCACCATGAATCTTTTCCTCAAAGAGGGTGATCTGTGTTCCTGGAGTATAAAATGTAGGCGTTTAGCATGGCCATGTCCATTAGGTTGAAGAATATCTTTCGCCAATACTTGCGAGTTGGCCTGGTACATGAGTGATGATATATGGATTTATCTTTTTGATCCACACCCCCCATAGATAGATTATACTTGTGAATAACTAGGGGTTTCACAGCTTGTAGCCCACTGCGACTAACTATATTTCTATCCTCCGCATGGCAAGCAGTTGTTATAAGATAAACGGGTTTCCTCTTCTTTTTTTGCTTATAGCCGACGAGCAACACCTTTCCTTTCCTGAAATAAACAGTTTGACCTGCCTCATATTGTGTTCCTACCACTGCTCGGGATAAATCTTTAGACTTCTTGTTTACTGTACCAGTTAGATATGTGTCGTTGCGTAACAAAGCTTCGGCTAGGGGTAGCTTAGTGTAGAAGTTATCTGTAAAGACATGATGATGTTTCCCCAACAATCGAGTCTGATTCATCATCTCAAATATAACTTTTTGAGTGAATGGATCATCTCCATCACTCAAAAAGTCTTTACCACTATAAAGGGCAGTATGGAGCAAATAACCGGTAGCACTGTCACATATTTCAAATTTTTTTATTCCAAAGCGCGCATGTCTTTTGTTAGGCATAGCCTATATATTGTATAAATATTGTCCGATTCTTCATTCCTATCATACTTTCATCGATTGCTAGGTTCTGGGAAGGGACAAAATGTCTTTTGAAAGCATCATTCAAGTGATCTAGGAGTTTCCTTATTTTCTGCCAAGGATCATAACCCGGTTCTCCTTTAGCGATAAAAGGCTCTGAAGTGAGATGAAACATTGACGATATAGCCTGGAAACGGTTTCTTGACATAATTTCAGGGAAAAATGGAACTCTCTGGCTGAAAGATTGGTCCCCATAAGTTAGTCAATAAGATTTTTTTTTTCAATTAGGCCCATATTTATAACCAGCGCTATACTTCTATATAGCGCTATATACTTCTTCATTTCACTGTATGTTACGTCAACCCAGTGTCGTAACCGTGACTGTCCCCTCAATTCCCCCGACAATCTCCTTTGAGTTACTTCTCTCGATGCATATGCATTGGTTTCAGTTGTGAATAATATCCAGATTGCGTAGGGGAAAAACAAATTGAAGTAAGCAATTGGCTTGCTGTTGCGGGGTGGACAGTCTCTAATCCCAGTATTTCTCACAGTAAACTTAGTTTCTATATCCTCCCCTTCAGGTTCTGGGGGGTAGACCCTTGTCCAAATAGGCCTAGTAATATTTGGAATTGGGGGTATTCCTAGCCTAGCTGCTGCATCCCCTCCAGGACCAGGAGGTGGAGCAGGTGGACCCAAACCTACGGTTGGTACATCTAGGCCTACGTCTAAATCTGTTACTTCTCTTTGACTGGTATCTAATTCACTGCTATGTGGGACATAGTCATCTTCTGATCCAGAGGAGAAGTCTGTAACACACTATGTTCAGGTGTCAAACCATAAATGTCTACATCAAGATCTGATTCATCACCTGTCTCATCACAAGGCTGACTTACTGATGGGCTTGCCCCTAGGCCTACCGGCACCACGACTGATTCTTCTGATTCCTCTGGCTCAACTTTAGAATCAATATTATCATTAGTTTCCCTAAGATCGTTCATCAATAATTCACGTAAATCACTGGATCGTCCTGCATAATTTTCCATTGTAAAAATATCAAGTTTGTAATCCAACAAAACAAACTAACCCCCACACATAATGTCACTTCAAAGTCCACTTTGTTCGCTAAATATTCACAAATAACAATGGAAACTACTAAAACACTCTTTAAATATAACTAAACGAGTTTATCAATAAGTACAAACAACTTTTTGATCCGAAAAACACGCAAAAACAACGAAATAAATACGAGATAACCGACCGTGTTTACAGACGACATCACTACTGCATAGAAACAACAAACACTTTTATCAACATATGTTAGCAGGCCCGCCAATACAATAAAACGTAAAAACTGTCATATTAGCAGGCAGCCAACCTCTTTGGCTTTACATTTATTTATTTATTTATTTATTTATACGGTAAACACCATTTTTACAGTAAATGATACATGAGATTCAAGTTACAAGATAAATACTTCTAAACATATATTGATATATATTGAAACATACATTGATGCATAAAATACTTCGTTCCGATGAGTAGAAGCTTATATATATGAAAAATACTGGATCGGTCATTTTGTGACCGATGGCACTACGGAACGGACCCTGTCGGTCATAAAATGACCGATCAGCAGTTCCAGGGTTAAATTGTCCTCTGAGCCTTCGGCAACAAGTTAAATGGCTAAAGCAGATGATGAGGGTTGGTGCAAGGCTTACTGCGTGTTTATTGGTCAAGTACCTTACCTATTGCTAACCATCCTTGTTAACAAATTAGGCCTGAATGGTAAAAAATCCTGTTGCACTTTAACTTGTAGTTTACGCCCCACATTTAACCTAAGTTAAGTTACTCGAACATGAGTTACAGCATGTTTGGTTAGGTTATTTTAGAACAGTTTCACATTATAATCAGCTGATAGGGATAGTTAATGTATAATGGTAAATGCTTGACGTAAACTAAAGTCTAAGTTACCCAAAAATCCTGCCTTTGTTGAATTAACTTTAACAGGTAAAGGCCAGGTGTTTAACTTATCTTACACTAGGCTATGATTAGGCCTAATTTAATTTAGTAACTGCTTGTTCAACATTGTACCCAACATTATAACGTACATATTATTAACTCTGCATCCGCAAACGACTAAGTTATTGACTAGCTAATTAAGTAAGTACTTGTGTGAACCTGGCAATAACTCAGCCATAAGTAGTGTGCACGCCTTAAAGAATCTATTGCTGGCCGTTTTGCGGAAAAATACGGCTGTGTAGCATATTACCGATAATTTCACCAGATAGAGGACACTTTAACTGACACCGACACCGCTGTATCAAATACTTAGGCTATCATGTAGATACCTGTGGAGCAAGTTAGTGAAGAAAAGGGGGGGGGGTGTAAAGTCAGCAATAAGTAGTGCGCGCACCTTATAAAATCTATTGCTGGGCGTTTAGTGGAAAAATACGGCCGCGTAGCATATTATTGATTAATGTCACCAGATACTATCATCATTATTATGTAATAAACCAAGTAAGATTAACAAAGAATGAGTAGGCTACTACATCAAAATATTAGTTGAAAATAATCAAAATCCTAAGAAACAATGGAACACAATCAAAACCCTTATTGGAGAAAATAAGAAAGATGCAGAACTTATTGTATTGAAAGGTGACGATAAAGAGTTAATTACAAGCCCTGAAGCAGTTGTAAATAAATTAAACAGACCCTTCTGTTCTATAGCAACGGAGTTGAGAGAAAGTATTATATTAGAACAGTAACAGATAATTCCCCAACTAGTAAACGAATATAAACCCATGTTTCAGACATCTACATGTAACAATTCTATATTTTTCTATCCAACCTGCGAAAACAAGGTTATTGGCATAATCAAATCGCTTAAAAACAGGAAAGCACCAGGATATGATAATATTACTCCTTTGATTATTAAGAAAATTCCTAGGCCTAAGGTAAATGCACCAGTAGCTGACAGTGCTCCAGAAGCTGACAGTTTGAGTTTCTTTACATTATAATGTGGTTTCTTATAAACATTTACACATGATTGCATTGCTATAAGAACACATGTTTATTCTTGATTTGTTTACAAACAAATCAGTGAAATTTAGCCCATACTCGTTGAATGGTGGTGGTTTGAAAGCGACCCTGTCTGTATACATCACATTTAGTCGATTCCCTTAACGAAATTGTTAAGAAGGTAAGTTTGGTTTTTTGTCATTTCGCTAAATTTCTTAAATAGTATTAATGGTTAGGCCCATTATTTTTATCAATTATACCTTTGTTGACAATTTCATGATAAAATTGGGGTGTTAGGGGGTTTGGATTTAAAATTATATCAATGTCAGGCTTTGGTACACAAAAGCCATACAAGTTCCACTAGCTGACAGGGGATATTTGCTACTTAATTGCACAATATTAAATTGGTTTTACCCATCGAAATTTGCATGCTATTTATAGTTTATGTGATTTTACATTTTTATAAAATGATTTTAATTTTTTAATTAATAAGCCAAGTATCTTTAAAAAATGTATTTTTTTTAATATATAGGCTATATATTTTTTAATGTAAATATTTTTTATTTTAAAATATGTAAAATAAATTTTCTTAATAACGTTTTACATGATTTTATTGATAACTTAATTATTAAGTTAGATTTTATTTGTCTTATAAATTATAAAACCCTTAGGTTTGGCAGCTAGTACATTTATAGTTCCAGTGTCAGCTACTGGGACAACTGACAGTCAGCTACTGGTACAAGCACTTTTTTCACTGTCAGCCACTGGAACACGTACAAAGGTTGAATTAAGTTTAAAAATGTTATTAAATATATTTAAAAAACCCTTTTTGTATGACAAATTTGAAAACTACACTAAATTTAGAATCCCATAAAATCCGTAATATCTCTTTAGTTCCTATTTATTCAAAACCACGGATTATTAAGTGTGTATAGTTTCTTATACTGTCAGCTACTGGTGCGTTTACCTTACTTATATTGTTGAGGTTCTTGTTTTTTTAATACATTTTAGTTTATATTTAGGTGAATTTCCCAATGATTTAAAAACAGCTATTGTAAAGCCGTTATTCAAAAAGAGAAGTAGAGATGAGGTTGAAACTATGTCTGAAAGGAGAATAACATTAAGAAAGGTATAACGCAATAGTTCCAAAACCAAATTTAACAGCTTTCAAGAAATTTTATTTATACCTTGCACCTAAAATGTTTAATGCTCTACCATTTAATCTCGAAACCATCTCAGAAGCAGATTTTTCTAGGCAGCTGTGGCCTTATTTATTAAGTTTTGAAAATGCTGAAATGTACTTTTATGGAATTTAGTATGTACACAGTAGTATAGAAGTGACTAATATAGATAATAAGCAATATAAATACTTACTCTGTTGTATCATTTTTGTTTGTAAGTGTATTGACTTTTACTCTGTGCTGAAGAAGATCACTGTGTAGAACTCACACTCACTGTATATAGGCCTATTATAACCAAGTGATATGATACCAAGTGATACCTGACAAAACCGCCTCTTTGATTTTTAGAACTTAAGAAATTGTATAAATCCACCAACATAGGTTTTTCTTTTTTTCATGTGTAAATATATTTTTGTGTTTGTTTGTTGTATGGAAAAAACAATAAAGATTTCATAAAAAAATAAATAAATAAAAATGCCTTAGGTCTAGCATTCAGCCTATTTGTTGAGTTGTACTCTCATAAATAGTTTAAGTGAGAGTTTGATTCTTTTCTCCATTAAGCCTTTGGGCTAATAAATTGTTATTTTTCAGTGCCAAAAAGAGAACCTACTGATGAAGAATGTGTCAAAAACGCTAAGAACAGTTTGCCTCCACAGGAAGAACCCACCAACAATGAAGATCACAGGTAATTTGATTTGGTAATTTTATTTTTTTAGATCTTGAAAAGTAGTTGCAATCCATATATAAATCCAAAAGTACCCATGAACTTTTGTGAAAACTAAAAGTCACACATAAACCAGCCTACTTTTTTTAGACAATAAGACAATTAGGTAATCTTTATTTACACATTCATTATGAAATAGTAGTAGCGTTAACACGCTACACTAAAATTTTTGTCATGACGAGAAACCTTGCGCAAAACCATCCAGTATTTCATAAATTGCCCTTTAAGGTCAAATTCAAATCAAAAATCACTTTATTCAGCTGGAGAAATATACAGGGGTAGGCCTACATGATGATTGGTAGGAATAGTATTCCCCCAATTGTATACAATTGTATTTACTTTTGTTTCTTTTTAACACGTTCGCTGCTGAAAACCTTTAAACAGGCGCTCCCAATCTGCAGCGCGGTGACCAATCAAAAAAGAGCAGTGGTGATGGTTCTATGTTAGGGGTACCCCTAAAGTGGACGTACGGTAGTTCACTGAAACACCCAAAGGTAGCAGCACTGCCTGGATCAACAACTAGGAAAACTAGAGAATATAGAAAATCCCCGAAAACGGGACAAAAGCATTGCCAGACGAGATTTCACTGGAATGTTTAGTACCAATCTACACCAAAATAAAGCTTGTATTCTAAGCTACAGCCTGGCAACAATTACCAGCGTCCCCAGCCGAGTGCTGGGCTCAGACAGACACAATATTTGGTAGGGGAGCACACTACTGCTATAGCAGTAGGCCTCGTGCAGTGCCAGTGCCGCTCTACTGCTATAGCAGTAGACCTCAGTGAACGTGTTAAATTAAACTATTAGTCTTTATTGATTATTACTATCATGGAGTACACCTAAAAATTCAGAGATCGCTGTGATTCAGATATATCGTAATCATTCACAATATCATACTCCTATCCCTAATCTAAATATACAGGGTGTTAAAAAAGTCCCAGGACAGTTAAATATTTTAAAAAAATAATGCAGATAGAGCTACAATACTTGGTACAAAGTTACAGGGCATAAAACTCTATTTTAACACATATTCAGTGATCCAATAACTCTGTAGGGGGACGGCCCACAAGGAGTCGGAAGAAAATCTTTTAAATGGAAGCATAGGTCAATATGCACATCAAATTAAATGTCTTTTTTAGTAGAATACAATGCCGCGAACCGCACTTCAAAAGGTTGATCTTGTGCAAAATGACAGTTGTTCAAAGATTCATTTAATTTACATTGCTATTACATTGCTTACGGGGGCACAGCCCTAAGAATCGGAAGAAAATTTTTAACCTAAGCATAGGTCGATATGCACATCAAATTAAAGGTTTTCACTAGTAGGTTACGATGCTGTAAACTCAAGCTCTAAAGAATACCTGAGTAAAAAATGACAGTCGTTCAAAGATTCAAAATGGCGGAGTCAAGAAATCTTTGAACGACTGCCATTTTTTACTCAGGCATTCTTTTGAGCTTGAATTTACGGCATCGTAATCTACTAATGAAGACCTTTAACCTTTTGAAGTGCGGTTTGCGGCATTGTATTCTACTACAAAAGACCTTTAATTTGATGTGCATATTGACCTATGCTTCCATTTAAGATTTTCTTCCGACTCCTTGTGGGCCGTCCCCCTGAAGAGTTATTGGATCACTGAATATGCTGAATATGTGTTAAAATAGAGTTTTATGCCCTGCAACTTTGTACCAAGTATTGTAGCTCTATCTGCATTATTTTTAAAATATTTAACTGTCCTGGGACTTTTTTACCACCCTGTATAAAAGGCAAAGCCCTCACTGACTGACTCACTCACTCACTCACTCCCTCATCACTAATTCTCCCACTTCCCATTTATCTAGGAGGCTGAAATTTGATACACCGATTCTTTGGGCATTAAATAGGAAAACTAAGTAGTTTTTATTCTGATCGGGCTTTCGGGCTCCGCCCCAGTGGCTCTGGAGTTTCCCATGTTAACCTTATGATTTTTTATATTTAAAAGGAATTTCTTAACAGCTGTTTCAATTAAACAAGTTGGTTCTGTTCTATGATGTTTAATAGCATTAAAGTTACAAGGATTACCAACAGGGTGCAGCACTATTATTTTTTTAAATTTATGACTACTGCCAATTTGCAACCAAAAGGTGAGTGAGCGTAGCGAACGAAGAGAAGACAACTGACGCTCATACGGTCTCCTTGTTTTGTGGAGTAACTGCCGTCCAGTAGATTTACTACGACGGACCCTGTTGTCCGAGATGCAGTCACCCAACGTGATATGATCTGAAAACCAGAAATCAGTCCCATACGGGCTACGCCAAAATGTTGTCGAAACAGCCGTTACAAAGAAATAAAAGATTCACTGTTTCTGAAAAAATAAAATAAAAAAGGTTCCACCGCTAAAATGCAGTGTTTGACCGTCCACTGCACCGTATTGCTGCAAATTGGGTACCATGGTCGACTTACAGACGGCCGGTAGTGGACCCGAACCTCCCCCAACTACTTATACTACGCAGTTAGAATCCGACCATCCTTTTTGTGCCACCCTGTACAATACTGCTAGACATGATTGGTACACCAACCTAGTAAATATCTGGCGTCAACCAATAGGCCAGGTTTAGAGAGTATGGCCAGTCAACTAAGGCTCAACGTTAAGAGTCAATAAAAAAATATTCTAGGCGGTCACATTATAGATGTGTTATTTTTTATTTGTTGTAAAATGTTTAGTATGTCTTTTCACTTTGATGTTTAACAGCAAAATTATGATCCTGGTATAATTATTATTTTGTCACACAGGGAACCTACTACAGAGAAAGTCAAGGAAGAAAATCAACATAAATCTCAAGTAAGTAATTTGCTTGTGTTCTAGACCAGAGTGTTTTCACAAAAAACAAAAATAAGTAGAATACCAAGAAAATAAGTTTGTGTGCTGTGAGAAGAGACCATCAGCCACCTTAATCTTGTAGAGTTTTCATGTATAGTTTTCATATTGTAGCATGAACCTAACCTGTATAAATTACTATAGTTGAATTTTAGTTCTAAACATTCTCTTTACCCCTTTAATGTCACTTCCAATATTTACTTAAATTTGTTTATAAGTATAGAGGATTTCCTACAAAGAGGTTGAGACGTTTCATTTGCCTTAAACAGTAGTCATATGCATCGAAAACTTCAAGACTTTACACAATTTATAATCTAAGTTTTGAAAACATTTTATGTGAAAATGTCAGCTTCCTCTGACATGTAGAAACAAAATGGTTGGCATATTGAACATTTTACTAATTTTCCTCCAATAACAATTTCCTCAATTTGTTAACTGTGTTGTGTTGCATTTTTTACCTTAATCATTAAAGAGCAGTTTGATTAAAGAATATTACTTGAGCCATAATGTTATAGCACTTGAAATACTTTGTTATAAAAGTATACTCAAAAGCCTTTGAACAATTTAAAATAAATTATTCATACTATTAAAATATTGTATTTGTGTGCAAGTATCTTCAAAGTTCATTATGTACTCATCTATAGGCCTATAATAAATTCAAACTATTTAATATCTTATAATAAATTCAAACTATTTCATATCATGAAAATAAATACAAAAATCTAATAATTTTCAGGATTTTAACGTCTTGGTGGATGGTCTTCTGAAAGACAGTGCAAAGCCTAACGGTGATGTGAAAGTCAAATCTGAGCAGGACACAGAGGAACCTGAAGAAAATAATCAAAACTCAGTAGAACCTCGGGATGCTGAGCCCAATACATCCAATGCTGAGCCTAATCCATCCGATGCTGAGCCTAATCCATCTGATGCTGAGCCTAATCCATCTGACGCTGAGGCTCCATCCGACAATGAGATTTCTACTCAAGTTAGTTTAAAATTTATCGCTTTTTATTTTTATAACATATTCAAGTATTTTGAAAATAATCACTCGCAAAATTGAATATTTATTGGCAACTAACTTAGTGATGTTAAATCTAAAAAAAATTAAATTGTAAACATCCAAATTTCGCAAATCCATGATCAGGTTAAAAAAATTATATGGAATCCAGGAGGAAATGTATTTTTACTGTAGTTTATTTGATTTGTAATCAATTAGAAAACTTTTTAATGGGATTAAGATTATGATTTGATATTCCTATAATCGTATCGAAATGTGATGCAGCCTCATTGCTTTTTTGCCAGATAACTAACAGGTTGCCCTTGTATGCACTGAAGTACAGAAACCGATATTTTAACACTGGTTCTCTGTGCCCGGATAAACCAATCTTACTTTAGATGTTTATCATAGTTGTCACTTGTCATCCTACTTAGTCAGACTTAACCATGTTTGAAGCATAGACAAAAATAATTAAACATAGACCATCAGCCGCACTGCTGTTACCATAGGTTCTGGCGCACACTGCAGGTAACGCCATGTAGTTACGGCGTACACGCTACATAACTACACGGTGCTCCCAGGGATGTGCGCCAGAACCTATGGTAACAGCAGTGCGGCTGATGGTCTATGTTTAATTATTTTTGTCTATGGTTGAAGCTTGTGTTTGTTCCAATTTTCTATTATTGTATTTACTTCCTTTATCATATTATGGCTGTATAAATAAATATATATATATATATATATAAAGTAATAAATAAATTATGCTTTTACTGCAATATCATTGCCATTTGCAAATCTCTATTTTACAAAACAATAGGCATGGTTTAAATTCGAGATTTTTGCTGTGGCAAGTCAATTTAGTTACAGGCATGCCCCATTAGGTGATTAACTGTTGAGAACTAATAACAAATTTCTTACAGTTGTTATCAAAGAGAGTAAGGGTTATGATAAGATAATATAAATCACCAACGATGCTGTAAATACATACATATTTGAAATGTAAACATATTGTAAACAATGGGCTGCTGTCTGTTATATCTCTGTCTCAATTGTCTTGATCTCTGGCGTCATAGAAAAAAAATTGAAACGCCTTTATGACCGTGGGTGTTGTAACCTTATTGAAAGTATTGTTCTGTATGGCCAGTTTTTTTGTTTACTTTTTCTCTCTCTGGCCAGTCTACCAAAAATGTTTTTGTTTATTGTACTCTATTTGAATGGGTAGTTAGTTACAGGGTTGGAAAAAGTTGTGAGACAGCTAATTTTTAACAGAAATAAAGAGCTAGAACTTGGTACAAAGCTTCCGGACATAAAAGTCATTTTAACACATTATTCAGTGATACTCGACGTCTTCCGAGGTGGGTTATAACCCCCCCCCCTCTCTAAGAGTCAGAAACCCAACCAAATGGGCAACTGAGTCAAAAGGGGGATCTGTTAAGATATTAAAACGTACAAATCCAAGATATCTTTCAACTTAAAAAAAAGTTATAGATATATATAATTTACCTTTACTAAGATTTTTCGCCACTTTTTATATGTGACTTTTTTTTATAGCTGAGTAATCCTTGGTAGAACCTCGATTATCCGCTGCGATAGGAGATACAGACACCTCAGTGAATAGTATGAAATATATATGCCTATATATAGCCCATTGCATGGTAATTAATATTGTGCAATCATGATAGGCTATTTATTTACCTCAGGTCAATTATTTAAACTGTAACATTTAAAATGATCAAGCCTGTGTTTGGCCGATTGGTAACCGTAAAATAAAATTAAATGAAATTCTACTTTATTGGCAAAAATTTTTGAAAAATCCAGTGTAGCACACTTTACGCATTTCACCTGTTATTTAAACTCAAAAATATAATTTTTCCAGGAGACTGTTGAATCTGAAAGTGACAGTAGCGAGAGTCATTCTCCAAAGAGAAAAAGAAGAAATACCACAAGTAAGACCTCGACAGTAGTAGCAGCCACATCAAATGAGATCCAAACACTATCTTCAGATTCAGACTCAGAAGAGGTAAGATATTATGTTAAGTTGTCATTATCTCCTAAACTGTTTACAATTTATTCTTAGAGTCTTTATGGAAAAACAGTTTCAGGGGTTGATAACGGAATATTCCTGATTGTTGTTGAAAACTTGTTGGGGTTGGGAATTGACATTTGTGGTCTGGAAAATAATTTAACAATTTTTCAGAAATATTTTACAACTTAAGACATTAATTAAGTTAAAAAAAGTTAGTTGGTCATAGGTTGTTTAAAACCGTTTATATACCTAGTACATTTCAATTACGGTAGTTTGTAATTATTTCTGGACTCAACCCTCTTCAGATAATTTTTTTTTAGATCAGCAGAAAAATTTAAATTAAAAATAAAGCTGTAATTCGTGGCAGGAAAACTGGTCTGGTTTTGAATAAATTTCACATTTCATCAGAACTCATTTCATTTTACATTGTAGAGGGGGTCAAACTACAATATGTGGTACGTAGCGAATACAGTTAGTACCACAACTAACTGTATTCACCACAGGCCTGCATGCAAATTTTTTTGTGCATATTTTAATTTACTAGCCCCATTTATGTAATTATGTAATCGTTGTGGGTTCATAAATGTCAACGTCAGCATAACAGGGATGCAAAATGCAAGCAATCCTTACAGACATTAGTATTGTGTTATTATTTTGGGTACAAGTAGCGAGGGATACCAACTAATTCTGCTTTTGGCAAATATATTTTCTTTATTTTTTCATCTTTTGTTGTATCTTGGTGTTACCCATTGACCGTGCCTGACTTGTGTATGTGTTGTGAATTCAAACTAATGCAGTTTTTTAAACCAATTCATCATAGATATTATTCTTAAGTAGATTAACCATTTATTATTAACCCATTGGCATGCCAAAATTGCACTACTTGATTACAGAAATTTCTGTTTTGTTGCACTTTTATTGACTTACAACAACAACTAATATAACTTCTGGGCAGCGGATGTACAACTAGACAAGAGTTGTAAGGTAGTGAAGTATAGGAAAATTAGTAAAATTTATGAGGGCCAGATCCAGTGAGACCATTGGGGGGGGGGGGGGGATGCTGAGGAGGCTCTTCCAGAAAATGTTGTAAGTTCTAATTCAAAAAGGTAGTTTTCTAGCATTGTAATGTACTTTTTGGAAGTAAAACACTCTTAATTATTTGAGTTTCTATATGGCTGATCGCAAAATAGGGCCACCAAAACTAATATGCCAATAAGATACAATATTAGTTTATTAAATACTTAAGGTAATGACCAGATCATTGTGGTGATATAAACAAAGGTTACAGGTTGTATACTGTACTATTTTTGAAAAGTATAATGCCAAGGTTTTTCCTGGATTTTAAAGGGTTTTTATGGCACCGGCGTGAATGTTAAGCTGTAAACTATAACCAATTCAAGACCTACAGCTTAAGTTTGTTCTCATATCACATTTGTATATTCATAATTGTTCCAACGTTCAGTGAGCTAGTGTTGCAAAAATAATAATCCTTGATATCGTGGTAATTTTCATTATCATCAATCAATCAATCAATTATTTATGTTGGGGACGCCACTATAGGCGTATTTAAACCCAAATATGAGTGAATCATCCTCACCTAATGCCACAAAAAGTCTCACACGATAGGGGCTAAATCCTGAGTATCTCCATCGTTCTCAGAAACATTATTACGGGGAGCATAATCCTAAAATCTAACATAAAGTTATCATTGTCATCCGCGGTCGCGTCAGAATCCTGAAAATCCTCCGCGGTCATGTGGTCATTGTGTTAATCTCCTGCATCACTGAAACAATATCATCGTCATCCTCCATCATGGCAAAATCCTTAATATCTCCTGCGATTTGTATAAATTAGCGTCGGCTCTCAAGGTCACGGAAACTTAATAATTGTCATCGGCGATTGTGGCAAAATCCTGAGCATCTCTCACGGTTTGTAGGCATTATCGTTGTCTCCCACTGTCACAGAAACATCATCATAGTCTTCCGCAAACCCAATCGCAGCAAATGCATGAATTTAAGGGCATAGCGCAAATTTCACAGTCACGGTGTACGATTCTGATCGTAAAATTTTCCCCGAGCTTGATTTTGCACCGGTTCATATGCCTTATGTAAAGGCATCCAATAACCGCTGAACATAACAAAGCCAAGCTTACCATTTTTTTTTAACAAGCAGTAAGAATGTTATTTTGAAACAAATCCTAATTTTAAAAATGCCTGCAGGCGCCTACAAACTAAAGCTAAATATAACATTTTAAAATTTAATTAGGCTTATGGGTAGTAATGATGGGTACCAACTACTTATAACAACTTAACTGTAAACAAAAAATCATAGCACATGTTTAAGCCTATATACGACCTAAGTACAGTATAATTGAACAAATTTGAACAAAGACCAAAGAATACACAGAATGTATCAAAGTGCATTTGCAAACTACCAATGTTCAAATATAAACAACAGTTTACCGATTTTCTTTATGTAATATAAATTAAAATCTAAAAAATAATAATTTTAATTAGCTGAAACTAGCAAAAATAAAATAAATATTTATTTAAATCGGCGGTATTAAAAGTAGAAGATTTATTATTGCGATTAGTGCACGTAGATTTATCTTCTTATTTTAAAATTGGAAGCCAGTTCTGATGCTTGATAATTCGAAAACGGTTGAGTGTGTCAATGTAAACTAAATTGACAAAATCTCTTTGTTAGTAACAAAATTGCTTTCATCCGGTATATATTGGAGTTGAAACGAACCAGGGTGTCTAGTAGTCGGGAATTAGTCTTGAATTTCAAAATGGTCTTGAAAGTCGGGATTTAGTCTTAAATTTGATTTCAAAGTCGGGAATTTTCGTGATTTTGCCGCGATCGTCGTCTTGCGTTTACGTGACTGCAAAAGCCAATGATGATGTCTACACGGCCTCGGGAAATGTTCACAATTTTGTCGCAATAGTTGACGACGACGATGACGTTTCCGTGACCGCGGGAGATGACGATGACGTTTCCGTGACCGCGGGAGACGACGATGACGTTTCCGTGACCGCTGGAGACGACGATGATATCTGCTCGGCCGCGGAAAATGTTCATGAGTTTGTCGCGATCGCGGACGACGACGATGACGTTTCCGTGACCGCGGGAGATGACAATGACGTTTCCGTGACCGCGGGAGATAACGATGACGTTTCCGTGACCGCGGGAGACGACGATGACGATTCCGTGACCGCAGGAGACGACGATGATATCTGCTCGGCCGCGGAAAATGTTCATGAGTTTGTCGCGATCGCGGACGACGACGATGACGTTTCCGTGACCGCGGGAGATGACAATGACGTTTCCGTGACCGCGGGAGATAACGATGACGTTTCCGTGACCGCGGGAGACGACGATGACGATTCCGTGACCGCAGGAGACGACGATGATATCTGCTCGGCCGCGGGAAATGTTCATGAGTTTGTCGCGATCGCGAGAGATGACGATGACGTTTCCGTGACCGCCGGAGATAACGATGACGTTTCCGTGACCGCGGGAGACGACGATGACGATTCCGTGACCGCGGTAGACAACGATGATATCTGCTCGGCCGCGGGAAATGTTCATGATTTTGTCGCGATCGCGGGAGATGACGATGACGTTTCCGTGACCGCGGGAGATAACGATGGCGTTTCCGTGACCGCGGGAGACGACGATGACGATTCCGTGACCGCGGGAGACGACTATGATATATGCTCGGCCGCGGGAAATGTTCATGAGTTTGTCGCGATCGCGGACGACGACGATGACGTTTCCGTGACCGCGGGAGATGACGATGACGTTTCCGTGACCGCGGGAGACGACGATGACGTTTCCGTGACCGTGGGAGACGACGATGATGTCTACACGGCCGCGAGAAATGATCATGATTTTGCCGCGATCGCGGACGACGACGATCACGTTGCTGTAACCGCTGCAGTCAATGATGATGTCTAAACGTACGGTACATGGAAGATTTCATGAAAAAAAAAAAACAAATTTGCTAGTTAGAATTTTTTATTGCTGCATTATTTATTTACTTGAAAACACCACATTATCATAATACTACTTTATGACAAAGACAGGGGTGGTGTAGTATTATTCAGAAAATTTGGTTAAGCTATAAAAATTGGTATCAGTATCAAGAATCGAGAATCGATACATTTTGGTATCAACACGCACTAATTGTTGAAAAAACTAGTCTTGAAAAATCTGGAATTAGTCTTGAAAAGTCTGGAATTAGTCTTGAATTTTATAATGGAAATAAACTAGACACCCTGAACCATGTAAACCAGCTGTTTTAACTAATGAGTATATTCATAGACTAAGCAACACAAGTAGACTCCTCATCCCATTGTAAATTTTGAAGCTTGTTTTTTGTGTCTAGTTCATGTACGTCCACACTGATCGCTGGGGTAGACAACATTTTGTTTCTATTATTTTAGTGTTATTTTCATGATTTGTGCTTTACTATTTGGTTATATAAGTAGGAAACCAGTTATTGTTTATGATTAAATCGTTTTATTTGGTTAAATGAGGTTTTAAATAACTGAAATAACAAGAAACAAATTGTAAACAAAACATAACCTCTATGATGACAAATCTACTAAGGGAGTATCATTTATCTATGGTATATTATAAATATAATGTTTGTCTAAATAGGCTATAAGAAACATGTGGTTTTACCAATTAATTTTACTTGTACATATGAAGGTGAATATTAAATGACAAATCAAAGAAGAATAAATAGGAGATTAAAAGAAGTGGTGGTGGGGATGAAAAATGGATTTTCGTTTGAAAGCCAAGTATGCACTTAAGATTGTGCTGTGGTTGACCTGAGAATTCAGATTTTTCTCTTGGCTTGACTTATTTTGTAGCGTTACCAAGAGTAGGAAATATCAATTGCTTGCTGATTGAGACATTTTCAATAGGAATAGTTACAAGCATAATCAAGAAATTGTATGTAGACAATAAAGAAAATGAAGATGGAA